AATCTGAACGATTTGTAAAAAAAAAAAAAGAAAAAAAAAAAAGAGAATATTTCATTTCTGCACAGATTGGATGACATTAAATATTAGGCTACTATGGGAAAAAATAATTAATTAAAAAGAATTCAGAGTCATGATGTTAGAATATGTCTGCTCTCAATCTGCCAAAACAGTGCAGCTCGGTATGGCAATGCAGTTTGATGATTCGATCTCGAATTGTTGACTGTCTCTGAAACATGCTCTTCTGTGGCGATACGTTGTCACGTGTCTATATCTGTTACATCATGCATGATTATGTTTGAACGATTTTCCTATATTAGAAATTAACTGTAATGATAGAATCGGCCGCATTTGGGCATAAGTAAATTAAAAAAAAAAACAACCGCTTTTTAACTCTACTTTAAAAAAAAAAAAGTATTTCAAATGCTACTACAGGAAAAAAAAAAACTTGTTAAAGAATTCTCTCGCATTTCCAAATGAGATCATAAAAATATTTAGAAAACGAAAATATAATGCGTCGCAGTTTCCCTTTGTGTTGAAACATTAAAGTGAAAGTTCCACCAGTTTCTGGCTATAGCACTTAGAGGGCTGCAATGTCTTGTAACTCAACTAATCACACGGAGGCTTTTAATCTCTCACTAGCCTCTGAAATAAACCTACATGATGGTGTTATGGAAAACAGCTCGTAAATACATTCGTATAAATTTCGTTTGATATTTGCCAAAAATTTGCTTTAATCATTTTGTTTACATTTTTTTTAATAGCTGGAACATAGCTCAACACATATGATTTGTTTAATGATAAATAAGTGCTAACAAGATGACTAATATAAATGACTTGTATTTATCATATCACTCCAGCCCACATCTTTTTGTTGGTAACTTTCGTATCCTCACCGACGACTGTGAACCTCTCCTTCGGGTGAGATCAAGTTTTCTTCTAATCAAATGGAATCGCTTCGCCCCATATTCCCAGTGGAGCTGAAAATATAAAAAAAAACATAAAGCTGTTAAATTGTGGATGAATGTGAACTAGAAAAGAAAGGAACACTTTTGACATTGTATCGCGTACAAAGAAATCTAACCACATCAACCAAATTCTTTAAGATCTCCACTGGCTTCCTGTGAGTGAGCGCTTTGACCGCAAAATTCCGTCCCTGGCGTACAGCTGTATAGAAGGCTCTGCACCTGTAGATCTTCAAAAAAGTGATTTCTAAACATGTATCCTTACAGAACCTGCGCTCTTCAACACAGTCCTTACCAATAGTTCCAAGTGTTGACGGAGAGAGAAAGCAGTCATATGGAGTGCGCTCTTTTGAAGCTATTGCGCCTAAATTGTGGAACAGTTTGCCTCAATCTTTTAAGGACATTGAAAATCATAAAAGTCATTTAAGAATCATTTAAAGAATTTTTTCTTTAAATAGATTTTAGGGCATCAGAGCGCTGTTAGCATGCTAAAATAGGATGGACCCAAGTGCTATAAAAGTACTCAATCATCATCATAATCATCATCATCCATAATAATAATAATAACCTATTTCAAAGTAATAACTTGTTCTTAATATGGTAGATAAGGAATATTTTAAGTTTTTTATTCCTTTCCTTTTTTATTTTATTTTTATTTTTTAAATTTTTTTTAAAAAATTGTTTTATCACATTTTAAATAGTTTTCGACATCTAAGATCATTATCATGATTATTGCCATGAAAATTATTTACAGATCTGTTTTAAACGCTCCATATTATTTTCGAGAAGATATCATAGAGTTGACATGC